AGCCACTGTGCTATATGCGTATCTTATTTACGTTCCTGTCATATTCGAATCGTCCTCCTGTGTAACTTTTATATAAATATACAATGATTTGTCTTCGTACTGTTTTCAACCGAATTTTGTAGAGAATTGTATTTAGTATGTAGGTTCATGCCAAGAATCACACTGTCAGATGTGTCCGTTTAAACAAATCAGAAAAATATATGGACCAGTGGCCCAAATGTGCCACTCTGACGTCACAAGTACCACGTGACCTGTTAGCTCATTAAAATTCTCGCCAGTAAGGAGCGGTCACCTTTGATTGCCTATATCTAGAAACGGGACACTTCTGAACGCACGTTCTGTATTTATTTAAGTAAATTACAGGTTTCGCTTAGTCTTACAAAATGTAAAAAAATCTTGGCCAAAATCCTTTAACACAATTAAGACTTCTCCACCTACAGTATGTCTTTTATTTTTCTTGCAGAAACAGCCAAAGCCAGAATTAAAAAAGAAAAAGAAAAAAAATTCTACCCCACCAAAGGTTTCTGTGATGCTAAAGAAAAGCTCCTAAAGACCAAGGTTGTTGTCATCAAGGGAAATACAGGAGACGGTAAGACAGCAATCGCCGTTCAACTCCTCCATTGGCTGAGTGAGGAGCAGCAAGCCGGAAAACCCCTGCAAATTCACAAGATTAAGACATTAGATTTTTTGGCTCCAAACATGAAATTGATCACTTTTATTGATGATATTTTTGGTGAGAAAGATGCGAGTAAAAAGGATGTACAAAAGTGGAACAAAAGAATCTCAGATGTAGAAACGCTATTTGTAGATAAACAAACCCAGACCAATTTTCTCATCATTACTATTCGTAATGAAGTATTCAATTCTTTGGAAAAACGTTCTCTTGGAACAATTTTAACCGAAGATAACATTATTGATCTGAGCTCACATACATACAAACTTGCAGAAGAAAAAAGAGAACTTTTAGAGCTGTATAAGCCAAAAAACTTTTCATGGACAGACAAAGAAAAAACACAAATTTTAACTTATGCACCAAACATTGGATTCCCGCAATGTTGCCAGCTTTTCTACAATTCTGAAGAATTACAGAAAGAGCGAGAGAGATTTTTTGAAAATCCTTTTCATTTTTTGAATGAAGCATTGTCAAAATTACAAGAATGTTCTGCACTTTTGTACCTCTTCCTCATTGGCGGAATGATGATAGTAAAAGATCTTGATCCAAACAGTAAAACCGTCGATGAAAAATTGCTGGAACAAGCATTTTCAATAAAGTTGATTGGTGGTAAAAATCACACAGCCACTCCGTTCTGTAACAAAATTGGAAAAATGGGATTTATAAAGGACAGTTTCGATGAATTATTAGGCTTTTTGGTAAAGAAGGAGAAACATTGGTCTGGTGAGGATGTGTACAGATTTAATCATGATTCTATTTATGTTGCTGTGGCACTTTTGTATGGGAAAGCCACACCAATTGGCTACATACAGAATTGTCCCAGGAAATCCCTCAGATATCTAACAACCTCAGAGACAGCTACAAACATGATTGTCATATCATCTGTTCATTATACAGATATGTGTGAGCGTCTACTCCCAGAGTTTGAATGTAAGGCGTATCTAGATGGTACTAGTAGTATTGGCTTTCTAGATGTATGGAATGATCCTGTATTTGTTGAAAGATTTGTCGGGTTGTTGGATGACAGAAAAGATGATAAACTTGCTTTGATAAATAAAGCATGTTATTCTGGTGCAGCAGAATGTGCTTTATATCTTCTGTCAGAAGGTGTAAAACCTGACAAGTACGCAGCATTGTGGTTATTGATTGACAGACATTGGAATGATAGTAACAGACAAGTGTGTTTACTTAAAAAAATTGTTGTATACTTGAATGATGAGACAAAAGTTGATGTGTTGAATAAAGCATGTTATTCTGGTGCAGAAGAATGTGTTTTATATCTTCTGTCAGAAGGTGTAAAACCTGACAGGGAGACAGTGTTTAGTGTGGTGAGGGAAGGGCGTGTGAAAGTGTTACGTAAACTACTGCAGTATGACGTCACTCCTACAGCGAGGGATAAGTACAATAACAATGTCCTACATATGGCGTGTGAGTATCAGAGAGAAGAGATGGTGACGTTGTTATGGGACACTTACCCACACTTGGTACATGACACTGGTTGGTCAGGACAAACCCCGCTCCATGCTGTGGCGTGGGGAACAAACTGTTCTATGTTTCAGACAGTGGAGAGGTTTGTACTTAACTCCTTATATAGAGTTGAGGACCAACAACATAAGTGTGAGTCAGTCGATGGTCGTGTGGTTCATAGGAACTGTGTGTGTGCTCAGTACATGGCTCAGTTAGTGAATGATGACGGGACAACGGTGTTACATGCGAGTTGTGTGAGTGGAAACAGGGAGCTTTGTTTATATATATGTCGGTCATACCCAGCACTAACAGCTGTAAGTAAGAACGACCGTCATTGTCTACATTACATAGCTGGGTCATTAGGTTTAGATGTACTAGACTGGTTCACTGAGTGTGAAACTCATGTAAAACAATACCTAGAATCTACAGGACGTAAGTATGACATCACAACCATACTTGACTGTAACGGGGAATCTGTTTTAGACAAGGCGAGGGAAAGGGCGAAGTTTTTGGGGACACAAAACGACCCGTTGTTAGATCATCTTATTAAAGTGTTTGGTAAATAGATATGATAATGATTTCCCAAAATAAAATTATTATCAACACAAACCTTTTAAAACAATCATGTGCATAGATCATATCACAATGAATTGTTTAAACGAAGACATTTTATCAGTTTTGAAAAGTTTTCTGTCCAAAGTTTACCGATCTCCACGCTCTGTAAAAAAGGTCACGGAGGTCCGAATGATGTCTGTTTCTTTGGGAGGTTTTAGACCAGAGTTGATGAATTAAAACTCTGATGTTTTATGATCGGTCATGATTGTGGTGTTGTAGGTTGTTTTAAATGTTATTGAAGTATTGCATACATAATGTTCATACTTGCCAACTTTCTCTATTTTAGGAGGGAGATTCGATTTTGGTCCCTAAAATTTAGCATTTCCAACCAATGAATTTGCTAAACTATTCCTATTTACAAAGATCTGATGACTTAATCTGAAAGAACAGCCCAGAAAATGCCATTTAAAAGTGTTATTTTTTCTCTCTGGTGTACATACACTCATTTTATTTATACTTTTAATTCTGAGAATGTGTAATCACCTCAATGGAAATTTCAAAAAGTTGGCAATTATGAATATTAAGTCCTGTGGATGAATGAAACCTAAACAGCAGTTAACTTGGATACATGGTTGATAAATTGGAACGATATCAAGGATATCCATCGCTATTCATTTGATGATTAAACATCATGTCTAGAGTATAAATTTCACAGTGGATTACACAGTTCACCTGTAGAGACTTGTAAACCTCATCATTTCAAATATTATCAAGACATTTTTTTATTGTATTTTTTTTTTATAGATTGTTCAATTTGTTGACCTTTAATTATCTAAACCAATTGATTTATACTAGAATTTATCATTTTATTGGATGGTAAACTTATATATATTTTTTTTCAATTCAATTAGTTCAAAAAAGAAGTTTTAATTCTTTTGCAAGGAGTGTTAACTGGTACAAGGATGTCGCCTTCGGGCTTCGGCAGTGGGGAAAAATTGCCAGGAGGCCTGACCTCACAAATGACAAAACAGACTTTGTCAGGAGTGAAATATATGACTTTTTTCAGGTATAAATTCACATTTAGCAAAATGAAAATTCCATTAAGCAAAACAGCACATGATGCATGTTTTTGAATGAGATATAAATTCTAACGTTTCCTTGGCGAACTTCCAGTATTTTTCATTAGTGTAAAGACGGCATGCAATGTCTTTAAATATCCTGGCATAGAGTCACGCAGACATGTGATACAGCTTGCTTAAATGGCTGTGTCAAAACACATAATACATGTATGTTTTCTAGTATATTTTCAACCAAAATGTTTAAATAGATTTCTTTCATTCACCATTATCATAATATATATTCTAGATTAATATCATTTCCGCAATATTATATAACCAATTGTTGCTTTTTCTTCCATGCTTTGATAACACATATGAGCACTTGTGCTGGATAATTATTATTTTTTAATGCAAAAGCAAAGTTAAATATATAAGACACATTTGAATTTTCAGTTTAATATGACTTGTAATTCTATCATCTCTAGATGAAGTTATTATTCCCTCGCAAAAGGTTGGTTTTGGTTTTGTATGACTACTTGAGTAATTCGTACATACATGTATAGTCACATTTTGTCATTGCTCTAGCAAGTTCACCTCTAAAGGATCTTGATCAAACTCCAGACATTGGCTTGGTATGAGAGTAACTCAAATACTTTCATGTTTGAGGGTGTCAAGGTTAAAGTCATCATTACTATTACTATTTATAGAATTTCTCATCACTCCAGCACCTTCATTCATGCACGAATTTCCATGAAACTTCATTAATGATCAACGAGTGAGATAACATGTTCCTACAAGTTCGTTATTGAGGTTCCCAAGGTCATGGTCATCGTTACTATTTATAGAAAGTATTTATCGCTTTAGTGAATTTATTTCTGAACAGAATTTAATCAACATAATATGTTGCTCTAGTATGAGAACTTCTCCAACCAGTTCTTGTTTCAGGGAGCCAGGGTCAAGGTGACTGTTATTTTTCGTATGCCCGCATGTAACGCATGCGTTTATTATGGTTTGACGTCATTCATTTGTCTGTCTGTCCGCACACATTTTGTGTCTGGCTCATAACTTTGTAACCTTACTTGTATCTTTATGAAACTGTATTGGATTGTTGACTATAACCTAGATGTGTCATGACCTGTTCACAATATCATGTGTGACTCATACATTTGTGATTTTTTCTTGGACATACAAAACTTACAAGATTGTTCCCCAAGAGTGTGTCATGAACTTGCTCCAAGGTCATATCTCCAAGGTCAAGGTCATGTGGCCTCAACATCTTCAGACTGTTCATACAAATTTATTGTTTTAACTTTTTGTATCAATTCAGCTGAAGAAGATTGTTGCTCATAACATAGGGTTGTGTCATGACCTGCACCCAAGGTCATTTCCCGAAGGTCAAGGTCATGGGGCATCAACATCAAAAGACTGTATCTAGTCCATAATTTATGATCTTCTGAATCTGTGTCCTACTTCATAAGATTGCATGGTGTCCAAAATCGTAGAGTGTGTGATGACAATGACACAAGGTAATTTCCCCGATGTTAAGGTCATGGAGCATCAACATCTTCATGTGTCCATAAGTTTTAGTACATTTCAATAAAATCATATACTTCAGTTGTCTTTTCTGTATTTTACCCTTATTGTCGAACACAGTTTGAACCGTAACTTGATATAATATTTATCTGTCAATATGTTGATCATAATTATACACATGAATGATATTCATTATTTTACCTTCAATGTGCTACACCCTTTTGAAATTGCCAAGGTTGTTGACAAATTAACCATAGATAGGAACCTATGTTGTATTTCCATTATATCATGATATGGACATATAATTAACTTGTTCAGCAGTGCCTATTTTTTATAGATAATCTTTGTAATTGATTAAAAACTTTCATTTCTGAAAGGATTTTGATCAAACATCATGCTTTGAACATGTATGACACCACTCAAACAAGTTCTTGGTTCAGGATACCAAACACAAGGTCAACATCACTTTTATAGAAAATCTTTGTCATCCCTTTAAAACTTCATCTTTCAAAATGTTTTGATCAAACTTTATATATTGGACAAGAACTAGAATACCATGAACAGTTTGTGGTCCTGAACAGGTTTCTACCAAACCTGGAAGAAAGATTTTGTGGTTGTGTTTCTGCAGTATTTAATAATTGTCTGTATGCCAAAGATAACAATATGCTGTTACCTTGGAAACCTAATTGTATCAGTCTGAACAATGAGACAGATATAACATGTGTATGTATTTAAGAATTAGATATAATTTACATGTCACACGGTTCTGTATAAAGTGAAAAGAATATTTTGTGCTTAAATGATGTAGAATGTTTCTTCAGGAATGTGTACATCAATTTAAATATTTCAGTATAATGTATATATGTATCTCGGTGTATAATAGAGAAAACAGGTTGTATGTCTTTGAATGAGAGATGATAAAAGTATGATAGTGAAATGTAAATTTTATTGAAATATGTTTGTATTGTGTACACACATCATTTATAATGAATTTGTTAAACAAGTACATAACTTGATAATGTAGAATCGACACAATTTGTATAATAAACAGCATTATGTATAGTATGAGTACTAGTATTCCTTTATTAGCTCACCTAGTCAGAAAGATAAGGTGAGCGTGTGTCGTATAGCGGCCTCCGTTGTCTGTTAACAATTTGTTCGAATGTCCTCCTCAATAAAAGCAAAAGTTGGCATAGGGCATCTTTTGGCCAGTGAATCCAAATTTTGTATAAAAAAAGAGTCTGACTCCTCCAGTTGGACTGTTTCAGAGTTACTTTTAAAGTTAATGGCAATTAGCTACTCTTACAAGATAATTGGGGTCAAATGTAATAAAAAGTAAATACTATTTTACAGATTTATAAAGTCTAGAAAACCAGCAGTTAAGTTTTTTGACTTGTTTTCTTGAACAAAGAATGATTATTACTTTCTGCCACTACGCGTTGTTCGTTGTCTTTTAAAAAATGACATCAACATTCTAATAACTATAAGGCCTAGGGGCATGGCATTTGACTAATAGATAGATGGGGTGGATGGCTAAAAATTTGTTCAGATAAATAACCTTGACCTTTATGCAAGGCGTGGTTTCAAATATGTAACCGTCTTTAAATGACCTCTTGTCAAGTCGAAGAAAAACTAGGGTCATGATATTTGTTCTATAGGTAGATTGGATGGAGGCTATCAAAGTCCAAAAAATTAAATGACCTTGTCCTTCATTTAAGGCCACAGTGATCAAATATGTTTAAATCTTAAAACAAAACTTTTCAAATTCCAGTAACCCTATCATCATTATAATTTGTATTTGACCAGTATGTAGCAGGAATAGAGGCTGTGGAAAGTGTTTTTTTTCTTTAAAGCATTGGTCTTTCATTACAGGTCACAGATGTCAAATATATTAAAATCTTTAAATAACCTATGAAGTTTCAGAAGACATTGGATCATTATATTTTACCATTAGGTAGCTGGGATGGAATAAAGTTAGCAGTTTTCAAATAAATAACCTTGACATTCATTAAAGTTCAAACAGGTCAAATATGTTAAAAGTTCTAAAATCCTTGCTGTTAAAACTTTTGACCAGAATGTACCTTGGATAACTCATTGTCAGACAATTGACATGTAGTTAGAGCTGTAACGATACAACAACCTGACGATACGATACGATATGTATCGTGTATAGCAACAGTAAAAACAAGGAGAAAAGATATGCTGCAATTTTTTTAATTGCATAATTACAACTGCAAATTGACTAGGTCCAAAATGGGCACGACTTTAAAGTTTCACACAATCTGGATGTGCATGCCGAGCTGGAGCTTTCACTTGCCATATTGAAACCATTATGAGGAGAGTAAATTCAGAAACAACAAAATCCGTAAAATATCGTAGGTGTAACCTCCCAACAAATATTGTGTATCGTACCTGACTACCGTTTTCAAAATATCACACTTGTTGCATTGTCAAACGACCTTTGTCTTTCATTCAAAGACGCAGGGGTTGAATGTTAAAACACTTCAAATGACCTCTTCAGTTCCAAATGACTGATAAGGAGCTATATGCATATATATATATATGTATTTTAATAAATAACCTTACCATATCTTCAAGGACATTAAAGTCAACTTCATTTTAAATCTTACCAGATCCCTCCGAGTCCTGAAGGCCTATGGTCATAATAATTTTGTCAGAATCTAGATGAAATTGAGGATTATCAAAGGTCAAATATATGTAGCAGGGACTATGAAGAGGTGTTTAGAAATGATCTGGAACTTCATTTACGGTCACAAAGGTCAAATATAGGTAGAAATGATGGGAATGAAAGTCTATCAATTTACTTAATTATATATGACCTTGACCAACATTCAAGTCACGGGTAACAAATAGGCTGAAATCCTCAAACGACTTTTGAAAACAAATTATAACTTAAAAGCCTAGGTTTAAATATACTAGGCCTATTGTATCTGAAATTAAGAGGAATAAAGTTCTTCTAATGTTGAAAAAGCCAAACGTCATGCTCTACGTGACCATTAAAATTGTTTAGATAGGCTTACCAGTTTGAGTGTATGTGTGAGACCACGCCAACGTGAGTTGTATGGTAACCTTCCCCTGATAGACATGAGTTGTGTGATATCCTCCCCCTGATAGACATGAGTGGTGTGATATCCTTCCCCTGATAGACATGAGTTGTGTGATATCCTTCCCCTGATAGACATGAGTGGTGTGGTGACCTTCCGATGATAGACATGAGTGGTATGGTGACCTTCCCCTGATAAACATGAGTGGTGTGGTGACCTTCCCCTGATAGACATGAGTGGTGTGGTGACATTCCCCTGATAGACATGAGTGGTGTGGTGACCTTCCCCTGATAGACATGAGTGGTGTGGTGACCTTCCCCTGATAGACATGAGTGGTGTGGTGACCTTCCCCTGATAGACATGAGTGGTGTGGTGACCTTCCCCTGATAGACATGAGTGGTGTGGTGACCTTCCCCTGATAGACATGAGTGGTGTGGTGACCTTCCCCTGATAGACATGAGTGGTGTGGTGACCTTCCCCTGATAGACATGAGTGGTGTGGTGACCTTCCCCTGATAGACATGAGTGGTGTGGTGACCTTCCCCTGATAGACATGAGTGGTGTGGTGACCTTCCCCTGATAGACATGAGTGGTGTGGTGACCTTCCCCTGATAGACATGAGTGGTGTGGTGACCTTCCCCTGATAGACATGAGTGGTGTGGTGACCTTCCCCTGATAGACATGAGTGGTGTGGTGACCTTCCCCTGATAGACATGAGTGGTGTGGTGACCTTCCCCTGATAGACATGAGTGGTGTGGTGACCTTCCCCTGATAGACATGAGTGGTGTGGTGACCTTCCCCTGATAGACATGAGTGGTGTGGTGACCTTCCCCTGATAGACATGAGTGGTGTGGTGACCTTCCCCTGATAGACATGAGTGGTGTGGTGACCTTCCCCTGATAGACATGAGTGGTGTGGTGACCTTCCCCTGATAGACATGAGTGGTGTGGTGACCTTCCCCTGATAGACATGAGTGGTGTGGTGACCTTCCCCTGATAGACATGAGTGGTGTGGTGACCTTCCCCTGATAGACATGAGTGGTGTGGTGACCTTCCCCTGATAGACATGAGTGGTGTGGTGACCTTCCCCTGATAGACATGAGTGGTGTGGTGACCTTCCCCTGATAGACATGAGTGGTGTGGTGACCTTCCCCTGATAGACATGAGTGGTGTGGTGACCTTCCCCTGATAGACATGAGTGGTGTGGTGACCTTCCCCTGATAGACATGAGTGGTGTGGTGACCTTCCCCTGATAGACATGAGTGGTGTGGTGACCTTCCCCTGATAGACATGAGTGGTGTGGTGACCTTCCCCTGATAGACATGAGTGGTGTGGTGACCTTCCCCTGATAGACATGAGTGGTGTGGTGACCTTCCCCTGATAGACATGAGTGGTGTGGTGACCTTCCCCTGATAGACATGAGTGGTGTGGTGACCTTCCCCTGATAGACATGAGTGGTGTGGTGACCTTCCCCTGATAGACATGAGTGGTGTGGTGACCTTCCCCTGATAGACATGAGTGGTGTGGTGACCTTCCCCTGATAGACATGAGTGGTGTGGTGACCTTCCCCTGATAGACATGAGTGGTGTGGTGACCTTCCCCTGATAGACATGAGTGGTGTGGTGACCTTCCCCTGATAGACATGAGTGGTGTGGTGACCTTCCCCTGATAGACATGAGTGGTGTGGTGACCTTCCCCTGATAGACATGAGTGGTGTGGTGACCTTCCCCTGATAGACATGAGTGGTGTGGTGACCTTCCCCTGATAGACATGAGTGGTGTGGTGACCTTCCCCTGATAGACATGAGTGGTGTGGTGACCTTCCCCTGATAGACATGAGTGGTGTGGTGACCTTCCCCTGATAGACATGAGTGGTGTGGTGACCTTCCCCTGATAGACATGAGTGGTGTGGTGACCTTCCCCTGATAGACATGAGTGGTGTGGTGACCTTCCCCTGATAGACATGAGTGGTGTGGTGACCTTCCCCTGATAGACATGAGTGGTGTGGTGACCTTCCCCTGATAGACATGAGTGGTGTGGTGACCTTCCCCTGATAGACATGAGTGGTGTGGTGACCTTCCCCTGATAGACATGAGTGGTGTGGTGACCTTCCCCTGATAGACATGAGTGGTGTGGTGACCTTCCCCTGATAGACATGAGTGGTGTGGTGACCTTCCCCTGATAGACATGAGTGGTGTGGTGACCTTCCCCTGATAGACATGAGTGGTGTGGTGACCTTCCCCTGATAGACATGAGTGGTGTGGTGACCTTCCCCTGATAGACATGAGTGGTGTGGTGACCTTCCCCTGATAGACATGAGTGGTGTGGTGACCTTCCCCTGATAGACATGAGTGGTGTGGTGACCTTCCCCTGATAGACATGAGTGGTGTGGTGACCTTCCCCTGATAGACATGAGTGGTGTGGTGACCTTCCCCTGATAGACATGAGTGGTGTGGTGACCTTCCCCTGATAGACATGAGTGGTGTGGTGACCTTCCCCTGATAGACATGAGTGGTGTGGTGACCTTCTCGTGATAGACATGAGTTGTATGATGACCTTCCCCTGATAGACATGAGTGGTGTGGTGACCTTCCCCTGATAGACATGAGTGGTGTGGTGACCTTCTCGTGATAGACATGAGTGGTGTGATGACCTTCCCATGATAGACATGAGTGATGTGGTGATCTTCCCCTGATAGACATGAGTGGTGTTGTGATCTTCCCCTGATAGATATGAGTGGTGTTGTGACCTTCCCCTGATAGACATGAGTGGTGTTATGACCTTCCTGTCAGTTATCAGTCCAAAATAAGTGATGGAAAGTAACCATTTTGCACAACAAAATACCCTGTGTACCAAAAAAGACACATTCCTGGCATCCACCAAGAAGCAATTCACCAGATTATAGGTAATTGGTAATGAAATTCGTTACAATAAACCTTTCAGTGCATTTTGGGTCACCAAAAAATCAAAATTCACTTGTGTGCTTCATCATTTGGCTGATTGATAAAGCTTTTGTTACAATCAATTTAGAGATCAAATTTATTATCTTTGTCACTTTTTAGAATTTGTTCTTATAAATTTTGTTTTCATTTTTTATACATTTTATCATCAGACTTTTGGTTTTACATTGCTTTTAGGGAATATTTCATACTCATTTGTTAATATTCATCTCATAATGGAGGGTAAAAATATCGGTGAAGGTCGCCATCGTATCTTCGCAGAACAGAACGTTTTGAAGATGAAACTACTAGAAGTTTTCCTCTTTTATCAATCAAGGACCTGTTTTACGGGTTGAGCTGATTTATTAACATTCATTATTATCTAAATATTGGAAAGTTATTTTCTAGCATTAGAAAATAATTTTGAATTATAAAAAATATGTATGATATTTATACATGTATGTTCTAATATTTAAAAAAAAAAGTAAAAGGATTTTTTAATTTTTTTTATTAGACTAATATTAAAAAATAATTAATTTCTAATAAAAACAATACCAGGGACCCTTTTCAACTTTGGATACAAAACAACAACTGCATCTAGTGATATAATTTAATTCATTTTCGGAAATGATGGCACAAATCAATAAGTAATGAGGACACAAATGGAAATGGGACAGGACCAGGGAGGGGCCGGAACTATTAAGGTATGAACGACGAGGGACGCTAACAACTTTGGTCGGGAAAGCGGTCAGCTTTCTATCTCACGGGGCCTCTTACCTTACAATAAATTTGCTTTCTTAGCTAAAAAAGTTAACTTACAAGCGAGGCTAATAAAAACGAAAGTAGATGACGTCATCATATCTTGTGTAGCCAAGCAGACAGAGCTCAGCCTAACGGATCACGCGAGCTGCCCTTTGATGTGGACAGTGCCTGATTTTAAATAATCTCGCCTTTATGCAGGTAAAACAGAACATACCCCGAGCCTCGTGGCATTGTGAATAGAATGTAGATATGGGTATGTTAGAAATGCGTTAAGTTTGACTTTAATGTGTTTAATCTTACCAGGAAGCAAAATTCAGTTGGTTGTGGCCTGATCATGACCGCCATTGCGAAGTTTTCCTGTTCGGGCGGGTCAACCTTAGGCTTACGTGTGTTATTGTTTCTGTGATCAGTGTAGGCGTGGCTACCTAGTATCACATACATATAGACACATAAATAAATCCTTGGAATATCAAGTATATCTCTTTCACACTAGGCAATGATGCCGAAAACTAAACCGAAAGTAGAAAATAATGGGAATTCCAGGAAGTCATAATGACTCAGCATTTCTGTAGATCTATGTATTTGTTTCGTCACAGCCGTCTAAGATCGAATTAATTTCCACCTGGTTTAGTTCAGTATTAGTTGGGAAACCCACTTACGTAATATGAAATTCTTTTAAGCTGACTTAACTTTGTACTGCACACCTAACGTCAGTGAAGGCAAATTCGTCACATTAGTAAGGGTTTCTGTTAATAATTCGACCAAATAGGCATGTATCAAAACAGAAGAAGATTCGACTGAAATGCCTATAAATAAACATTGTTGTAAACACGCCTGAATGACGTCACGCAGCAACATTTGTGACGTCATCAGGCCTTCCGTCGTTTTGCTCAAATGTGCAGGCAGTTTCACCACCTTCAAATTTTAAACATCTTTAACTAATTTACAAGTAATCTAAGTGTTTAAATGTAAAAAAAAATATGTTTACGTTACACAAGCTGTACTGATACGAACAGCTCCAAATGTGTCTGTGTAACAATGATTTACATTGAAATACATGGCTTTTCTTAGTTGTGATAGTTAGTTTTCGGTAACTTGAAGAAACTGATTAATGTTGTTTAAGAAAGATGACGGGTATCGGCTGAGATGATGTCAATTTACATGATACGCAATAAAGACTCAGTCCTTAACACATATAAACTTCAAAATCGCTGCCCAATATTATATTTTTCATCGGGTCAGGATGAGAGGGTCCAGGGCTTCCAACGATCAGTCTTTGGTAACTGTCGGTCTCTACGTACAATTAGCATGCGATCGACAGCAGCACTTTCAGGCCGACAACAAATTCCTTTCAGATATAAATCTAGAACATTTCTAGATGATATTTTAATTTAAGTGTTGTAAGATTGTTGAACGTAAGACGCAAACAATACTTTTAAAAAGATACTGGTTGATTGCATTCTAAATACACATTGCATGAAAATGGAAACTGACGAATTATCAAATCGCGGATCTTTCCGATCGTCATTTCCATAAACTCGCAGTGCCGTGGATCGTCAGTACATTGTACATGTACCAAATTAAAGTACACTTGTAGAAAAAAACTATTTACTTGCATTAACTGCAATTAGCGTTAAGATATGGATATTTTCATGATGTGTATGTAATAAATTTACACTAAATAACAACCAACTGGCCTCAGATTAATGAGTTTAGTTGACGAGATGTCCGTCGCACAGACCAAATTTTTAAGATTTGTTTTGTTACAAGATATTTCATAACTGTTTTGATTAAAAGTATAGCTTTTCCCTTCTTATACCTCTTCTTGTCAAAATATCTGAAGGCTTTAACTGTGTTGAAGACTATGGTGACGTTATATACGTCACATCTTATGTATTATGACGTCATATGGCATTTTCATCACAGGGTGGCGAATTTGGGTGCATGGCGAATTTGCCTGCACTCACGTTAGTGAACAAGGAAGTGCATTTGACAAAACATTGAAGTGCACTCAACTTCACGTGAGTGTTAACCCCAGTTCACTTCAGTGTTAACTCCAGTGCACTACGGTGTTAATTAACTCCTGAGTGCATGCATGTATAACAGCGTTTACCAAAGTTTAAAAGATTGCACGTGCGACAGCAAGTCTGCTGACTGGGGTCAGGTTACAGAACTTTGGTCTAGCTGTCCTGCAGACAACCACAAACTTGGAAGTCCTATTTGGAAAAAAAATATAACAATCCTGAACCTGATTGCTAACACGTACGTGCACTTAATAATAGTTAGTGTCAACTACTGCTTATTGTCTTACCCTCTTCTTCATTACCTGGATGTATGGTTTGAGATCATGGTCAATTGATCTGAACACATCATTTCATTCATCATGAACATAAATTCAAAAATATATTTGACTTTTCTTTTTCTACATATATAAAAAAGCCAAAAATGACAGTCAAATCAGTTAATAAGTTTCTGAATGAAACATATTTGACGGATGGAGAAATTTCTATAAATGCAAAATTTCTGTAAACTACCTTGTATTACTTTGTATCCCTGGTATCATTATCAGCAGTTTCATTTGGAAAACAAAACAATATCTAAAAAAACATTACCATATGATATTTGAATATATTTACAATGGCAAATCAAGTGTTCCATGCACAGTCTTGCCTAGAAGCACAGATCGTCAACTTGTGGATAACAATAACAATATCTCACAAGTTAATACTTTTTAGAGCATTTGGCCAATTCAAATTCATTTTGTAATCTCTCTGGTTTTTGTTTCAGTAAATAGTGAACCATGCCGAAGGGCCGTGGTAAAGGCAGGAAACGGAAAGGACCGGCTCAGAGAGTTACTCCGGCCCGCAATGTCCTGTCAGAGGACCAGCCAGGGACGAGTACAGCCGGGTTGATCCCCGCCACAGATGGTAATGTAACAGAGAGTGTTAACATGTGTAATTCTGTGAGGTGCTTAATGTTATAGGGCTCAAACTTTGTAAAAGTTGTTTCTTGAACAAATGTTCGGGGAATAAATTCCCTGTGCCACCAACAGAAGCATTAGTAATCTGATGAAATCCCTTTTAAATTGCCATACATATATTTGTGTTATATTTCACTTTTTCTCTCAGGTCGTAAATAAAGAAAACATTAGATATGTATAAAATCAGTCTTCTCACCATTCTAAAATTTGGTAGTTATGATTTTATGTCTTTTTGAACAAAGCATTTCGACTGATTCAACAACAGTATATAAGGTGTAACAGAATGAATCTATTGAAATCATTGATGTTAAGATATCCCCTTCACTCCTTATATCCACCATCATCAGATGATGTGCTAATGTTAAGATATATATCCCCTTCACTCCTTATATCCTCCTCCATCAGATGATGTGCTAATGTTAAGGGATCCCCTTCACTCCTTATATCCATCTCCATCAGAAGATGAGCTAATGTTAAGATAGCCCCTTCACTCCTTATATCCATCTCCATCAGAAGATGAGCTAATGTTAAGATAACCCCTTCACTCCATATATCCATCTCCATCAGAAGATGTTCTAATGTTAAGATATCCCCTTCGCTCCTTATATCCATCTCTATCAGAAGATGTGCTAATGATAAGATATCCCCTTCTCTCCTTATATCCACCATCACCAGATGATGTGCTAATGTTAAGATAACCCCTTCACTCCATATATCCATCTCCATCAGAAGATATGCTAATGTTAAGATAGCCCCTTCACTCCTTATATCCATATCCATCAGAAGATGTGCTAATGTTAAGATATCCCCTTCACTCCTTATTCGCCCACCATCATCAGATGATGCCGCTAATCCTATTGCCCTCTGTCTTTGGTCAGTGGTCTGTCCATCCTTAAACAATTCCCAATTTTCATATGCAAGTTCCCCTTGGACCATTGTTGTGCATGGTATATTTTGAGAAGCCGACCAGTTCAATATATTTATCACTATTTCTTGATAAGTTATTGAAAGGTCTTTCTTGAATTTTATATGTACCGATAAGTTCTCCTTGGTACAGTATTGGGTAGTAGTGGGTATCAAATCAGGTTGTATTGTGGGCAGTATTGGGTACAGTATTGTGTAGTAGTGGGTACAGTATTGTGTAGTAGTGGGTACAGTAAAAAGTAGTAGTGGGTACAGTATTGTGTAGTAGTGGGTACAGTATTGTGTAGTAGTGGATACAGTATTGTGTTGTAGTGGGTACAGTATCATGTAGTAGTGGGTACAGTATTGTGTAGTAGTGGGTACAGTATTGTGTAGTAGTGGGTACAGTATTGTGTAGTTGTGGGTACAGTATTGTGTAGTTGTGGGTACAGTATTGTGTAGTAGTGGGTACGTATATACAGTATTGTGTAGTTGTGGGTACAGTATTGTGTAGTTGTGGGTACAGTATTGTGTAGTAGTGGGAACAGTATTGTGTAGTTGTTGATACAGTATTGTGTAGTAGTAGGTACAGTATTGTGTAGTTGTGGGTACAGTATTGTGTAGTAGTGGTAGCAGTATTGTGTAGTTGTGGGTAAAGTATTGTGTTGTAGTGCGTACAGTATTGTGCAGTAGTTGGTACAGTATTGCGGAGGTGTAGTACAGTATTGTGTAGTATTGGGTACGGTATAGGTAGTAGTGGGTACAGTATTGTGCAGTAGTTGGTACAGTATTGCGGAGGTGTAGTACAGTATTGTGTAGTTGTAGTACAGTTTTATGTAGTAGTGGGTACAGTATTGTGTAGTAGTGGTAACAGTATTGTGTAGTTGTGGGTACAGTATTGGGTAGTTGTAGTACAGTTTTATGTAGTAATGGGTACAGTATTGTGTAGTAGTGGATACAGTATTGTGTAGTAGTGGGTACAGTATTGTGTAGTAGTGGGTACAGTATTGTGTAGTAGTGGGTACAGTATTGTGTAGTAGTGGGTACAGTATTGTGTAGTAAGGAGTACAGTATAGGTAGTATTGGGTACAGTATTATGTAGTAGTGGGTACAGTATTGTGTAGTTGTGGGTACAGTATTGTGTAGTAGTGGATACATTAATGTGTAGTAGTGGGGACAGCATTGTGTAGTTGTAGTACAGTTTTATGTAGGAATGGGTACAGTATTGTGTCGTAGTGGGTACAGTATTGGGTAGCAGTGGGTACAGTATTGTGTCGTAGTGGGTACAGTATTGGGGAGTTGTAGTACAGTTTTATGTAGTAATGGGTACAGTATTGGGTAGTTGTAGTACAGTTTTGTGTAGTATAGGGTACAGTATTGTGCAGTAGTGGGGACAGGATTGTGTAGTTGTGGGTACGGTATTGTGTAGTTGTAGTACAGTATTGTGTAGTTGTAGTACAGTTTTATGTAGTATAGGGTACAGTATTGTGTAGTAGTGGGTGCAGTATTGTGTAGTTGTGGGTACAGTATTGGGTAGTTGTAGTACAGTTTTATGTAGTAATGGGTACAGTATTGTGTAGTAGTGGGTACAGTATTGTGTAGTAGTGGATACAGTATTGTGTAGTAGTGGGTACAGTATTGTGTAGTTGTGGGTACAGTATTGTGTAGTAAGGAGTACAGTATTGTGTAGTAGTTNGGTACAGTATTGTGTAGTAGTGGATACAGTATTGTGTAGTAGTGGGTACAGTATTGTGTAGTAGTAGGTACAGTATTGTGTAGTAGTGGGTACAGTATTGTGTAGAAGTGGGTACAGTATTGTGTAGTAGTGGGAACAGTATTGTGTAGTTGTGGGTACAGTATTGTGTAGTTGTGGGTACAGTATTGTGTATTTAACTATAAAGTTGTTTTCCTTGAAAGCAACACAGTTATGTAGAGTGTAAATGGAAAAACTTTTTTTATCGCTCCCTGAACACAACTTTAATATATCTTTCAGATCCAGACACTTCCCAGATATCACAGCCCAGCCAGACGAGCCGGCCAAGCACTGCTAGTGTAAGTTTATCTTATATTGATGTTGTAGGATAAAGATAATGATCTATGGTGCATCCTATGTCCGTTGTCATCATCTCTTGTCCGCATTATTTATTTAATTAAATTGACAAAATTTCCAGATTGCTGAGCATATTTCATATTTAATGTTTGTGAAAGCTTTTTGGCTCATCAGGATCAATTGTTATACAAAATTCTAACTGTAAACGGGTCTGAAGTGCAGGGTCAAATGGGTAAAAGTCCTTGATTTTCCTGAAACCAAATACCTTTCTTAGCCTGGCAGGTATCAACTGAGTTACGTTATTAACATCCTTAGCCTATATATGGATTGAAACTATTATAACAAAGTGGCCCGACATTTCCGCTGCCTTCCATACAAAACTAATGGTCAGATTTCAACCAGAGGTAAAAGTTTAATTTCCAAAATAACTTAATGTAGCTTATAGGTTATATAATTACGGAGTTATTCCCCTTTGTTCAAAAAGAACTAAACTAATCCTTTATATTGAGGGTATTTGATTAAAGTAAATGAATTGAAGTTACTTTCCAGGTTTATGAGGTTATGCCACAATAGTTAAAAACTGCCCTTCAAAGAAAAAAATATTTTTGAGGCTGATCGGATAAACAAAATGCCTGATAGGAAGCCTTCTTGGATTTTGACAGTGAAGGATTATTATCGCTATTTCTCAGGAAGTACTGAAGAGATCTTTCTCAAATTTGACTTGTAGGTTCTCATTGGTCCCTTAAGTTATGCATATTTAGCCCACCATCATCTGATGGTGGGCTATTTAAATCACCCTGCATCCGTGGTCCGTCATCCATCCCTCGTCTGTCCTTAAACAATTCTTGTTATCGCTGGTTCTCAGGAAGTACCAGAGGGATCTTTCTCAAATTTTAGTTGTAGTTGTTCATTTTTACTTTTGAAAGTGATCAGATTAACAAAATGGTCGACTGACAGCCTTCTATGATTTTTGACATTGAAGGTTTGTTAGTACTATTTCTCAGGAATAACTTAAGGGATCTTTCTCAAACTTGATATGTAGGTTCCCCATGATCCCTCATTGTGCATGTTATATTTTGAGACTGATCATAAAAACAAAATGGCTAAAGGAAGAATTAAACAGATCTTTCTCATATTGCAATGATCGATTCTATTTCTTTCACATTAAGTACTGTACTAGTAAATATGTTAAATGACAAACTCATTTCACATGTCTTTTATACACAGCAGTATTAAGTTTAGATCAGAAGTTACCTCAAGGTGCTTTTACTGTTAACATGACTCGATCAAACAGATTAGAAAAAACAAGAGAAAAGATAGAACTGACAAAGAACTATAGTACAATGGTGGATGCCAAGATCCCTCTGGGATCTCTTGTTACTTTTGAGACTGATCAGATAAACAGAATGGCCGGTAGGCGACCATCTTGGATTTTGACAATGAAAGTTTATTATCGCTATTGCTTAGGAAGTACAGGAGGGATCTTCTCAAATTTGATATGTAGGTTCCACTTGGTCTGTAGTTGTGCATTTTTAAGCCGCTCTTGGCCAATACTTTAAATAATTGCTGAAAACAAAATGTTTATATCCGGTGCATTCTACGAGTGTTGTGGTGGTGAAATTTGTGCACCGTGTTTGAGCGTTTTAGCAATTCGGAGTGAGTCTGAGGAGTAACTGATTCAAGGAAGCAAATGTGAAGACTAGCTGTCAAGCATTGACATGAAGGTTCCCCTTGGTCTGACAGGAAGAACTCAACAGATGTTTATTATATTGCAATGATCAGCTCTATTTCTTTCACATTAAGTACTGTACTGGTAAATATGTGAAATTATATTGAAATGGGGTCTTTTATACACAGCAGTACAAAGTTGGGATCAAACGTTACCTCAAGGTGCATTTATTCAATGACTATCAAACAGATAAGAGAAAAGAAGAGAAAAGATCAAACTGACAAAGAACTAATGAAGATGGTGCAATGGTGGGCGTTAAGATCCCTCTGGGATCTCTTGTTGACGTAAATAAAAATGTTAAAATCACATCTTTTGACCATGAACTTCAATATTTAAGAAAGACTATTTACCACATAACTGATCCATTTTACTATTTCATATATGTGGCCATATGTTATAAATATTATGTTAGACACGTGTCATTTAACCTAAAGGTGTTGCGATTGGTCAAAACTATGGGAACATTATTCCTATCCCTTATAAACTGGTGCTACTTTTATTAAATCACCTGAGGTTTGCTCAAGTGACCTATTCTGATTGTTTTACGTGCGTCGTCCATCGTGTGTAAACTTTTCACATTTTTGGCTTCTTCTCAAGAACCAATGACTGGGTTTCAACTTGGTAAGGACCATCCTTGTGGAAGAGGGCATCAAATTGTAAATTGAAATGCCTACCCTACCCTGGGGTGCCAGGGCGGGCACTAAAAGGAAATTTAACCAATATTTCAAAAATCTTCTCCAGACTCAGATGTACTACAATCTAATTATTTTCATGGATGGAAAGATCAGCAAAGGGTTTATATCTATTGTAAATTTCATTGCCCCCGGGCCATCCGTTCTCCCTTGAGGAGGGGGGAAAGTTTACTATAGTTTTTATTGGGAAATTACACTTTTTGGTATATTTTGTCCATTTTGAACAGAAATTTTTTCATACTTGATTGGAATGATGATTATGATGCCAGATGGCAATTAGATGGTATGAGAAAATAAGATCCTACCCCATCCCCAGGGGCTGGAGGGGTGGGGCCAAAATGGGGAAAATGGTTAAAAGTTCAAAAATCTTCTTTATCAGACTCAGACGTTGTACAGTCAAATACTCGTCATGGATAGAAAGGTCCTTATAGGTGCATTATCTAAGTTATAAGTTTCATTATCCCCTAGGTCATCTGCTCTTCCTTGTGGAGAGGTTAAAGTTTATTATAGTTTATATAGGTAAATAACACTTTTTGGTATATTTTGTCTTATCTCAGCAATAAATTATTCAAACTTGGTTGGAATAATTGTGATGAGATGGCAATTAGACGGTATGAAAAAATAAGATCTGTCTTTGCCCCATGGCCTGAAGGGTTGGGCCAGAAAGGGGAAAACGCCTGATATTTAAAAAATATCTGCACTCAGATGTAAAAGATTCAAGTTTCTTTTATGGATGGAAACGACCTTAGGTGCAATATATGAATTGTTAATTTTATTACCCTTTGGTCATCTGTTCTCCTTGGTTTATTTAGGGAAATAACACTTCTGACTACATATTGTCATTTTCAACAAGAAATACTTCAAATTTGGTTGGAATAGTTATAATGAAATTGAAATCAAATAGTATTAGAAAGTTAAAGATCCTGATCTATCCCATATTCTTTCACGAGTGCGCAGCATGAGTGGAAGATATCAAAATATTAGACACACGAGTGAAATAAATTTGGTAGCACTGTGGACACTGTAAGATACTCTGCTTATAACATTTTTTTACGAAAACCTACCCCGGAACGTAAAGCGACACATCAAACTGATAATACTTGATTTGGATCCTTTTACCTAGTCCAGACAACCCTACGTGACAAAATATAATCCTCTCTGCAAACATTTAATAGACTATAAAAACTCATAATTGTATTCCTTTTATAACTTATTTTAATAAAGCAGTTACTTTTGTTTATATTTTAAGTAAAGTAATTAAATTATTCAAGAAAAGGCCCATCATACCCACTCAGATCACTATGTGTTGTTGATAAGTGCCGAATCTACAATGGTAGGGAGTGGGGAAAAGGAGCGTTGTTTTGTCACCACTTATATATCCTGATGATAACATATCAACACTATCTATATGTAACTTATACTTATGACCGTAGTTTTCTTCTTCTTTCTGCCAATCTCTTAGCTTCAGACTTTGAGGCGTTGATGCCTTGTTTCTGTTGACATGAGTTTTCTCTGATCACATAGTTGGAATTGCTGACCTGCAGTCTGCTGGCTTTCATGAAAATGAACGTAAACTGTGGAATTAAACATTATGTATAATGTCTCCCCAGAGAATAATTCCTCCATGATAGGTAACAGATGATTATTCTTGGCAGTTGTATGGGCTGATGTCTCGGACTGATTTTCTTGAGGTCTACGTATCATTAAGCTAACCAGGCTTTTACCAGAAAAGCCACTTGAATCCCGTGGTAGTTCGTAATCAGTGTTTTGATCGGTCAAATCAGCAAAGTGATATTTTTCATAGAGAATAATTCGGCCCGAGGGCTGACATTGCAATCTCGGGTTGATACCGGGTGTGATATGGAAAAAAGTCATGCTTTATTCTGTTTATTACATACTTACTTATAAAAGCTACTATCTTATGATATATTTTTAAAATATTGAAAAAAGAAAAATTTCCAAAAGGGGTGTGATACAGGTTTTGCGGGCTGATACAGGTTTTGCGGGCTGATGCAGGTTTTGGGGTGTGATACGGCGAGGGCTGATATGGGTAAGAGCAATTGTGTCGTATCGGATATACAAAAACAACGTATTTATTAGTAAGTATGTAATATACTTTTATAAAATGAATAATTTTCAATATTTCACTGGTAAAAATGTAACAAATTATAATTCTCAATATCAAAAGAATTCCTTTGAAAAGTTTTTACAGTTTTTTCCTTTGGTGACATAATGACAAGTATTATATTTCATTTTGTTAACACGTCAATTTCTACATCACATGCTCAACAATGAAGTTGAGCTACCAGTACCTATAATGTAACTCAGGTGACCGCTAAGGCCCTTCAAATAAATGAAAAGATATGTAATGATGAGATTGTTTGTGTATTTAATTTCATCAACCACAGCCTTTTTGTGCATGTTGGTATTATTTGATTACAAAATGGGCCTTTGAAAAAACTGACTTGGACCACAGGATTTTTCAGCTCACCTCGCACGAAGTATAGTTAGTTGTTTGTCGTTCATCATCCGTCAACTTTTTCTATGAATGACTTTAAGTTTTTCTTTAAGTTTGACTTTAAAAACTGGAGGACATAGGGCCATGATATTTAGGTAGCAGGTTCCTGGGACAGAGTACTTTAAATTTTCCTTAACTCATTCACCCCTGAGGACATATTTGAACTCTTCCAATTCAAAGGTTGGAGTAGCGCTTTATAAATTTTAGGGGTGAATGAGTTAAATAATTACAGGGGTCAAATATGTTAAAACATTTAACAAACTTCTTCTGAATAATGGCCCAGAGTAATGATACTTGGCCAGTACGTACCTGGCATATACAGTGTATGACCTTGACCTACGTTCAAAATCACAAGGGAGAAATGTGTTTAAAAACCTTTAAAAAAAAAATCTGAGTATCGAAGAGGTCTAGAGCAATGTTAGTTTGCTGGGGCAAAGAGCTTTAAGCTTCTCCCGAATAAATGACCTTGACATACTTTCAAGGTCAAAGGCATCAAGTATATAAAAAAAATCGAACCATTTCTTCTGAATTATCAGGAGGCCCAGGGTGATGATAATTGGCCAGTAGGTACCTGGTATGGAGTGCTATAAAAGATCCTGTAATAAATTACGTTGACCTACTTCCAAGGTCAAAGGGGTCAAACGTACAAAATCCTTGATTGTTTAAATATCCAGGTGAGTGATAGGCCCTCTTGTCTGTAGACCTATACTATATAGCTATCATCCATGGAAAAATCACCATTACTTTCAGACACTGATCTGTATTATTCATCTTCAAACACATAATCATTGTATTTATACTGTGGTGTAGCAATCATAAGGAAGGGCAGGGGCCATGCACCATCACACCCGTTCAAGATTACATATGGCCTTCACCTTTTGTGAAAATTTTGTATAAAATTTTTGGTCTCAAGGGTCCAGTGAACATATGAATTGGCGTTGTCTGTCATCTGTTGTTTGTTATCTATCGTTCATTGTCCGTAAATGTTTTCTTTAATGACTACTTAAAAATTAAATGCTGGACCGACTTCATCAAAATAAAAATATATTTTTGTGTGAAGTTTTTTCTGGGTGTTTTGGGATGAGATTTGTGCTAGCCTTTTTAGGGGCAAACTAGGGTCAAAAAAAGGTAAAATTATAGACTTCTATAACACGTTCTTCTTACAAATTAAAACTAGCAGTCAGATGAGTTTGATGTTCATTATGTAGCATCTTCTACGCATGTTCTACAAAGTTTGTGAGGGAAAACATAACCCGACATAAATAGCCACAGTCACTACGTGGTGATGAGTATACTCTTAACTCTATGCAATAATTGCACCTTCAAATATTGACAGGAAGAGGTTTAAAGAAGTGACCTTAATCTATTTTCAAAGTCACCGGGGTCAGATATATATATGTCCATTAATAAAATGACTTATTGAATAAGAAGTTATTCCCGGAGAACAGAAAATCCTAGAGTCATGAAATTTAGCTGCCACGGAATTCTACAAATTTTGCAAAAATAAATGACCTTACGTTAACCAATATTCAAGGTCACAGGAGTCAAATCTGTTCAGACACTGACTAGATTTCGTTTAGTTAGCCAAAGATCTAGTATCATGATATTTGGTATACAGCTTACCATTACAGAGTGCTACAAAGTTTTTATGAAAAAGATGTCTTAGTTTTATATTAAAGGTCACAGGAGTCTTAATTTGTTTAACGTCTACTGAAGTACCAAAAGGTCTCGAGTCACAATAATTTACCAGTAGTCTGCAGGCATAAAGTGCTACAAAATTGTAAAAGGAATGACCTTGACCTTGGTCAAATTTTATATAATACTTATGCAATTTTTTCTAATAACTTAAAGGTTTGGAATCATGATGGTAGCTTGCTGGCATGTAAGTGATATGTATGAAGTGTGATGAAAGAAATTACTTTCACCAATATTCAAGGTTGATGGGGTCAAATTTTAAAAAACCTTGAAACTGACTTCTGAAGAAGCAAAAGACCTTGGTTTGTAGCTTGTAGATAAGGGTTTAATTATTTAAAATATATACCATTGACCCACTTTCAAGGTCACTTGGGGGAAGGGGTGTCAAATAATTAAAACCTCCCACTGACATCTTCTGAATAACTTGAGAGGATTTTGCATGATATTTGGCCAGTAACATGCTTGGATGAAGGTATATCAGTTCAGTTTGCCTTGACCCACATTATAATAATGATAATAATTCGAGTTTCTTATATACCGCTTTATCACGACCTAGGCCCTTGGTTGTTTCAAAGGGGTTCAGATTATTTTCTGTGCCGGGGTAATACAGTACGCGTCGGGTGATTTGGAACTCAGTCGCCCGCCGAGCGACAAATTTTAATCCCTGTCGCTCGAAACACTATGACATTCGTATCTTATCTTTCAATGCCAGCGTTCCAAACCAAATGCTATAAACTTCATTTCTTCCGTTTAAGAATAATAATACATATACAATTACAAATACAAATGGAAAATAATTAGGAAACTACTTTCGAAAACTTCACACGTGCTCAACAAAAGTGATAACCAGCATCCGATTTCCATATGTGTATAAATCTACATTTTTTTCATTTCAACTATTACATTAGATATGTATTATGATAAATAAGATAATTTCTAATGTATTTTTCAGGAAACAAAAAAGTATGGGTAAACAAGATCGAACTTATATCACAAAATTGAAATTCGTCGCTTCACTACGATTTCCCGAATCTAAGTTGCTAGCTATAAACGATAAGAGAATGGAGTAAAAACAAAAATGAACTTAAGGCAGAGTCTAAGCACACTGTGTTATTTCTCAAACGAAGAAGAGTTCCAAGTTGTTCTTCATTCTATTTTTACTTTTTGTTATTCAGATGTATGTGAAATTTTCTATTCCTCTAAAAATAACGAGAATTCAACAATATGTGTACCATTTCCAGAGGAGTGAGTGACTACTTTTTAAATAAAGAAAGTAGTGAAAAATGATCTTTGGCATATGATCATTTACTCTTTTTCAAAATTATGTTACGGACAATTAGATCTTCATAGACCAATGACTGTTGCAATTCTTACCAGATGAATTTTTGTTAATTTTCCGCATTAATTGCCTTCACAAAAAAAAGTTCGGTTATATCAATAATGAAACTAGTTATCGTATTGAACTATGGTTCAAAGTTAATTGCTTAATTGCTTTGCTTTTATGATAAGTGTAGCGCAATTACGGGTGCGAGGCCTAGTTGGGGGTTTGCCTCCCCATGGAAAGTTTTTGAATTCCAGGTCTCTGGATCAAATTCCTGTGTTTTGTGGAAATTTGGCAATTAGATTTAAGCAGACGTAATTTATGTCTCTGATTTTAATTTTGGGGAAAAAGTTAGAAAACATATTTATTGCGATTTTTTTAAAATTTTACTTTACTTACGCAATAAAGGTTTCAAATACACGTATATTAAATATGTTTTTACTCATCAAAATTATGTGTACTCATTTGCATATAGCTAGAAAGCTACGCGCCGATTTGTTCTTCAACTTCTTGCGTAATTGTCAGTAGCAAGGTCACAGTTCACTTCATCAAATGATCTGGTAGACTTGTCCAATATTTGAGACACTAACGTCCTTTTTTACTAGCCAAAACAATAACCGGCGCTTGGACTCTTCTTGTTGTTAGAATTAAAAAATGTTCCAGATTGTTCCATAATTTTCAAGTACAGTTTCCTGTTTATACATTAAAGATGAATATGTCCACTTCATTAACACACACGTAGAATGGTAAAGCTAACCATGCTTGACAACTTGAGACACCCTGTTAGCAGGCAGCTAGCTACCTGCTGTGGGTCAAGGGTCACCGCCGCCGGTACCTGTAGTGTTGCAAACGCTTTTTACCCTCTGTTAGAACATGGACTAGCCAAAATCAGTCACATTTGTACGAAATATTTAATTCTAGGGTAGAGAGCATATCTCAAAATCATTCTGTGTCGTGTTTGTTTTGTAACATCTGTCAAGTTTGAAGGCCAACCTGACACACGGCTTCACTACGCTAATTGGAGACGAGACATTTTGTTTCGTTTACTGGTTCGTAATATTTCCCTATAAACTTGTACACACACAAAAATAGCAGAATTTTACACATCTCCGTTACTCGTCAAAGTATTTCGGCTTCACCTGATTGACATCGCATTACGTAATGTACATCAGCAGCGCCACCTGTAACTAGGTCGTCGAAAGCAGCTGATTTTCTTTCGTGAATTTATGCAACCTTCTGACTTCGAATACGAAATAGAGCAAGAATGGTTGGTGCAAATAGCTGACCGTCCAAAACACTGTGTGCTGCTTTAACAACTGAAATATAGCCTCTTGTTACTCAGAGACGTTAGTTATTGTTAACTTACATAATTGTTTTATTCCGACCAATTTCCCCCTGATAATCTGGCGTGAACGTAAATGATGTTTTTTCGGACGTACCACATTCTACTACTATATTGTATTGCATGGAATAGTCATGCATACAGCATATAAATATAGCATTCAGGCATCCTGGACTGTCAGTGCAATATTCAATGTACAGTACATTAGTTAGCTGACAAGTTAATCTAATTTAACATTTATTTTGTTTCTTTGCAGCAACAGCAGCAGCAGCAGCAGGAAAAAAACATCCGTAGACACCATACTCAGATGATTATTGATTTAGGTGATATGTTTTCACCTAAACAATGGCGTTCTATTTGTAATCGAGTTGAAATGATGAAATATGTGTCGACCAGGGATATGGGTGATGTAGACAGTATGGAGGACCTGTGTAAAGCCTTGATGAGGAATGGAGTCATTAAACATGGGGAATACAGTAATCTACGTGAAATTCTTGTTACCTGCGATGTCGAGGCTGGAGTAATCATTGATGATTACACAGAAAGAATACATCAGGAAAGGGAAGGTAATTATGCATACTGTTTATTACATCTCTTGACATGTTAAGAAATACCTACATGAAACAAAATATACAGGTTGTCCTGTTCCTTGATGGATATTTTCTGATTTACTTTCAAGAAGAGTTTACTTCTATTCAAAACAATGTTTGTCACACTTGTATTTTAGCCTACCATCATCTGATGGCCGGGCTATTCAAATCACCCATCGTCCGTAGTCTGTAGTCCGTGGTTCGTCCTGAAACAATTCTTGTTATCACTACTTCACAGAAAGTACAGGAGGAATTTTTCTCAAATTTTATATGATATGAAGGTTTCCCTTGGTCTGTAGTTGTGCATGTTTACTGTTGAGTCTGATCGAATAAACAAAATGGGCGACATATGGCCATCTTGGATTTTAACTGTGAAGGATTTTTCTCAAATTTGACGTGTAGCTTAACAAGTGATCTGTTATTGTGCATGTTTACTTTGGAGAGTGATCATAAAAACAAGATGGCCACAGGAATTACTAATGAGATCTTTCTAATATTGTAATAATTGGATCTATTTCTCTAACATTTAATGAACTGTACTAATAAATACATGAAACAGTGCATTTACTGTTTACATGACTTGATCAAACAAAGAAGAGAAAAGAAGAGAAAGATGAAACTGACATGAACCAATCAAGATGGTACAATGGTGGGATCTCTTGTTATTTTAACCATTCTAATGCATTTTATATATATATTTTAGCCCACCATCATAAGATATTCAATTCGCCTGTTAATTGTGATCATATAATTGTTTTGCCTTGTGTTCTGTCACTTAACAATCACATTCAGTCTTATGAAGTATATACAGGATCTCAAATATGTTCGAAGTTCAACATTCGTGAGTCGAAATCTTGATGGTTCGAACTTTTGTAATGTTCCCACAAACATCCAAGCAGCAAAGTTTGACTGTACAGTGGAATCTGTATTAAGCCACCAACCAAGGGAAATTTGAAAAAAAACGGTCGTTTAATAAACGTCGTCGTTTAATAAAGTTTGACCATATTTTGTACAGAATTACACAACCGACTATAACCAAACGACTCCTTATTCAGACAACTGTAAACAGACCACCACCCCAAGTACACAATTACACATGTATGTACAGGAAGTTTAACCCAACATCGTTCAACAGATCAGGTGAATAGCTAAACAATAGTCGAGTGATAATTATGACAGTAAACAAACAATTAAGAGTGTTTGAGAAGAATTGTTATTTCACTGGAACAAACGATCGCCGGAGACTTGTTGAAGTACTCAACTTACACGACTGTGTTTTCGGTAATTACCATGCTAACTTGTTATGCAATATATTGTCATTGAAAAGATAGTGGTTCCTGTAGTGGTCCAACAAATGGGTTCACGTATATTATTCCTTTATTTTACGAAGGAAACTGGAAAGAGAATCCAGTAAAAAAAAAATACCTAAATAAATTTGACAGCATGTTGCCGAAAAACGGACCGGTATTATTGTCGTTAGTAATTTGGTGTTGAGAAGTTCAGGGATGTTATTAAAGTCTTTAAATATTGATGGGGAATTAGAAACGATATGTGTGCTAGCATAAACATGTTTAGTGCGCAGTTGTGCTGATATTGAATGTTAATTTCGCGCAAGAGTGCTGTCGTGAACATCTGTTAAGGTTACGTTGCCTAGTAGGACACTCGTGCAGTCAAAATGGTCTTGCTCAACTGCGATAAATATCAGTCAGTATTTTCACTGCTAAATCAACAATATCAACAGTTAGAAAAATGACATTTTATTTGTTTATGTACATCAATGATTTTATTATAAGTTTAGAAATTAGTTGTGTCAAATTTGTTTGCTGGACTTGGTGAAAAGATCCTTTAGTAGCCCTTTGTCAAATGTGACGGTCGCAAATTTGGAGTTACACAACTAATTCAACAACCGTTTGGTATATAAAGCTCACCTGCCCGAAGGTGTCATGGTGCGGCGTCCGTCGTCCGTCAACTTTTCGTTTAAACAACTTTTTCTGAAGAACGGACAGGCCTAGAGTCATGATATTTGACTGAAAGCTTTGTTGGTAGAAGCCCGACAAAGTTTGAGAATGAAAATGACCTTGACCTACTTTCAAGGTCACAGGGGTCAAATATGTCAAAAACTTCAAACGACTTCTTCTGAACAACTAAAAGGTATGGAATCTTCATATTTGGCTGATGGATTCCTGGGATGGAGCCCAACAAAATTGGAGAATGAAAATGACCTTGACCTACTTTCAAGGTCACAGGGGTCAAATGTGTCAAAAACTTCAAATGACTTCTTCTGAAGAATTAAAAGGTATAGAATCTTCATATTTGGCTGATGGCTTCCTTGGATGGAGCCCAACAAAGTTTGAGAATGAAAATTACCTTGACCTTCTTTCAAGGTCACAGGGGTCAAATGTGTCAAACACTTCAAAC